AAGTTTAAAAATGTCCGTATAGGACGAAACTGCAGTAACGTTAGTTACAAATAAAAGTGGTAAAAAACATAAAAAGTTTCATTTCTCTTTTCATATATAAACTCATTTATAAATTTTCATATGTCTTATTTACTCTGGTATTGAGTAAAGCGTCTTATAATGAATTGAAGCCACTACAGGTCCTTCAAAAGAAACTGGCCTGAAGATATTTAAACTTCCTTTTCATTGATCAGCTAACCTTCTCTACAAACCAAACAGTATTCTGGATTCTGGATACTTACTCACTTGCAGCTTATCAGATTCGTGTTTTCTTTCATAATTTGGCCAGAATCAAAATTTACTCAACAAATTCAATACATTTGAAACAACTCAAGATAAGGGTTTCATTTGGAGCACATGTATTTTTCGAAGTTGGTTGTTCTGAGTACCTTGTCGTTAATGTCAGTTGTCATGTTAATTGTTCAAGAAAGACATTACTTCAAATAAATGTTGTGAAAACAAAATGAAAAATGAATATAATGAAAAGCAAATCAGACTCAAAAATGGACAGTATGAACTCGAAAAACATGAAATAAAACTTCCTATGTTTTATACTATTTGTATTTGTAACTAATGTTACTGCTGTTTCTTCCTATAAGGACATTTTCAAATGAATACAATAAACTCCAATGTTAGTTACAAATACAAGTGGTATAAAAGCATAGAAAGTTTTATTTCTCATTTATAGTGATGATATCCTACCACGTAGTAACGGTAACATCCATCAATTTATTGACAGTGTGAACACCAATTACATATGACAACTGTCACTAATGTCAAATATACAGGGTGTCTAAAATAGGAAAAATACATGTGCTCCAAATAAAATATTTATCAGATATGGTCTATCATAGCAGCAGAAATAAATCTCTCTTTATAACGATGAATAGGAACCCCCTTCAGCAGTGTTCTGTGATTTTCAGGCATTTGATTGCATCAACCACAGTATATGCACCACTATATTATGGGGGAGATAAATATAGACTGGTTTGAATTCCATCTTCAAAACAAATTGTGAAAACTGACAATTACTTTTCCCTTAAACTTTCCGCAGATGTTTGTTTCTGGGCCTGATCTATTTTGTTCTATATACATGATCTAACTTCAGATGATATTGAAAGATCTTTCGCAATATTTACAGATGGTACAACATTAGCACAAAAATAATAATGACATCTTGAATCAATTAGTTTCTCAAGACCTAGCGAATGTTAAGCAATGATGTGACTGAAATTTCTAAATGTAATAAATTTAGGGTTTGTACATTGCTAATAGACAAAAGTTCAATAAACACAGTTATTCATGATTTATCAATTTTCAATTAATTTCTAGATGTCAAGAATTGGAAGCAGAATTACAGAGAATGAGGGCTGAATGTGAAATGCTGCGAAATAGGTCTGCCATACCAAGTGATGGTGGTGCACCTATAATGAGTAGCGTTGCTAAAGTTGTTCAGCCTACAGCAACAGTATCTAGCGTACCTGTTTCTGGACCAAGTAAGTACTGTTGATCTTTGCAAGAAAATAATACTGAGGTAATGAAATGTTTTCCATATCCTGAATGCATTATCAATTTTGATTTTCCTAACTGAGCCTCAATGATGCTGGATCCTATTCAAAAACTCATCAAATAATCGGTAGCGGGGCGGTTCGACGTGGGTGCTTTGTTCACTCAGTCGATCGACCGATGTGTGAGTTGGTGGTTCAAGCCACAGGCTGAACTATCGATTTTCACTCGCTATCGTCCAACCCGTGTTAGGAATCACGTTGAAAGGTAAGACCTCGTTAGTCCTTAGCTCGCACAAGTTTCGACTTCTGAGGGTTGTCGTTCGTAGGGGTGCGACAGCTGGTTAACGGAAAAACATATCAACATAACATAAACATCAATCAATCAATCAAAATATACTTTATTGTCGAAAAAACTCTTGTTTTGTTGACGAAGTAGAATATGCACGTACAGAAATAAAATTTAGCAAAATACACACAATTATGTAAAATATAAAAAAAATAAAATTGTTATATAAACAAGCAGTATATAAACATATACATTTATCAATTATACATTTTATTCAATAGAATAAGTGTCAATAAATAAATAAAATGTCAATCATAAAATATTATTTGAATATTTTGTCAATTTTACGACTTATAATTCAGCAGTCTAATCGAGTATGCTATACAGTACCCGCAATAAATTACAGATAACAGTTCACAATTTCATTGGAAGTTGTCATTGTAAAATTCTTCCAAACTATAATAGAGTCTGCTCGCGAGAAGTTTTTTTGTGTATTTTCTAAAGCTGTTATAATCACAATCACATAATCACAATTATCATACTGATAGTAGCAAACTCAATGTAGAGGAAACCGACAGCGGTAGTGACTTCCATTATGAGAATCACAGAACACTGCTCAAAAAGCTGAAGCATTATGGTTTCACAAACAACAATAAACTCTCAAATGGAGCAAATATAATGTGGTGTATGCCAAGGCTGGGTTCTTGGACAAGTCGTATGTCTTCTTTACATAAATGATTAGCAAAAACAGCAATAAATGGAAAGATTACACTTTCAGGGACAACAAAACGATACTATGGCATAATAGAAAATATAACAGCACTCTATGAAGACAGGTGTAAGTCAAAGCTGTCCTGCTTCAGCATTGAGATGACAAACGTTTCAACCTTCCGAAGCATATTTTCAGACATACAATTTGGGACTGGTGGAAAATACTAAGTTTCTGGGTCTACAAATAAACAACAGTTTGAAATTTGACCAGTACATATCGATATTATTGAAGAAATCAAATTCTAAGTAATACAACAAGAATAATAATGGAATAGATTATACATCAGTCAGATCAGCATACTTTGCCCTTGTCGAGTCGCATTCGTGATATGGGATCGCATTTTGGGGAACATGTAGAGACACATAATTTCAGATAATAGTTGTGTTTTGTTAGCACCCAGATTGAGTCATCTCCACCAAAAGTTAGCTATCTCTGCACAATGTATTTTGATTTAGCAGAGATAGCGAAATCTGATGTTATTCAATATTCGTTTTAGTATAAGTAGAAAAAGTACTTCTCTTGTGACAGCCATTTTATTCAAAACATCAGTTTTTTTCTTTAATATTCCATGATCAGTCATACTGATTGATAATTCAGATGTTTTCCTCGCTTGGAGCAAAAAGTAAGTTATTCTCTGCAAACTTTTTTTCAGCAACTGGAATAGCACAGTCTGTTTTGCCTGGACAAGCTCTTAGACAAACTGCAATCGCTCCTTCTCCAGCGCTAGCTGCCAAGGTAAATAAATATATATATTTATGGTAGAAGTTACTCTTGTTAATATTATCCCAAGATATTTTTCCTCAAAAAAATATAGAAACAGCTATGAACTCTCTTGAAATTTTCAAATATCTTAATATAACATTCTATTATAAAATTTTCTTCATTCTACTGAATATCGTTCTCATTCTTCATCAAGAACCTCTTTTACTTTTGAACTCAATGCTTGGTATTACTTATTGTGTTATTCTTATTTCTAATTTATTTGTTAATAAGTACCTGTAATGATACCTATCATTACTTTAGAGAGTAAAAATAGGTTATTTGAGCTAGTGTCTTTGTCGCTATTCATAGATCTCATTAAACATTATAGGATTTATAAACTTCCATAATATAAGTGTTTGAAAGCCTGTTGTCATGTACCAGTCTCAACAATTTCAAGTATTTCTCACTTATTCTGTGGTCGGCATTTTAAACAACACTAGACTTCTCCAGACTATGAAACTTAACATGTGAAACATGTTTCTTGTAACGAGTTATTATAGTCTGCTTAGTTTGACCAACATACTTTTTGTCGCAATGCTCCCAGCTTCATTTCGTAAATCCCAAACGTTTCCTTTTCTAACATCATGTCAAGAAAATACTTATCAAGAGAATAGTTGAAAGTATCGTTGAAACACGATCAATCAGTTAATTAGGATATGAAAATTTGGAGTGTCTTAGTAAATCCTCGACTTTTCGGAAAGATGAAGGCTCGAAGTTTATAGTTCTTTCATATGATTTAACATAAAAGTGGCTTTCAAAATTTCTTGTAGACCATTAGGAACCCAAAAGATAGGATGAACGAAAAGAAAAAGCCTGGGATTCACAAAATAAATAATTATAATCTTGTCTTGAATAATCCACCTAAGATATTTACAAAAGAACTCTGTTGTTACTCTTTGAAATTTATCATGAAATTTTTTCAGGAAAATTGAAAATAGACCAAGTTGTTTGAACTCAACATAAAAACCCAGATGTTATCATTTTTCAATTCCAACAGACTCCTCTCGCCAAATCATCATGGTTGACACTCAAAACGAATGTACTAAAACAGCTCTGTATGGCTTCATTGAACACACTATAATGGCTCTAGATAACAAATTACAAATATGAGGACTATCCATAGACTCCATGACTCATGGACTCCATGGGGTTGGTTGCCTTGGAAATGATGAAGTCATATCTAGAAAGCAGGTCACAAAAAGTTTAAATCAAAACTGTTCATAGGGAGTCCACGGTAATTGATCAAGAAGTCCCACAATATATGCACATGATCTGTTTTATTATTTTCCAATTCTCTCAGGAGTACACGTGTATGATATACACATTAGTATCACTGGTCTAAGTAAAGTTGTCTCTTTGAGACAACATATGACAGATTGATGATATGGGTTGACAAAAAAATTTACTCTGAGTCTCAGTAAAACAACCTTGATAAATTTTACGATGTTCATGCCTATGGATACATATGAAAATAACCAGTTGGAGTCTCAACTCCAGTAATGACAATTCTTGGTCTTACTCTGGATCGTAATTTTGTATGGTGTCCTCGTATCTAATCAGTGAGAAAAACAAGTTCTGATTAACATACATCATACAACAAATAGTTGTATGGTGAATATTTTGTTTGAAAAAATCTACATTTCACAAAAATATGCAATCACAATAGTTTCGCAATAAATATGACGCTGGTCTTCTAAAAACTATTAATTGTTATATGTTATGAGATATTCTATATGACTATTGAAGTCTTCCTTGTTATCATATGAAGATATTTCCAAATTATTTCACACTTTGAAACAATAGAAAGTATTTTTTATTTCTGTTCCTGTTTTGAATATTTTCATTGTCTACACTTCAGGTCAGTGCGGGGTCTCCAGGACCAAATCAGGGATCATCACAAGTGTCTGCGTTACGCACACCTCCAAAAGCAGCTGGTTTCCATTCTCAATTTCAGTCGCCTCCCACTGCTCCTCAAACTCCACCAAAGAAGAGCTCGGCGGCTGCCAGGGGCGTCCCGCCTCCGATTCCCCCCAATAAACCTGTCATTCCTACAAAATCTTCGACGAGTGTGAGGAGGCCCGACGCCGGTGAGTCGGAGAAAAAAAAACCAAACGTACCTCTCAAAGACGGTGAACCTGTTCGTCCAGGACAAGGGATAGAGATGTTAGGGCAGGAATTAGCTGATTTTCAACAGATGTTTGTGACAATGGCAACTAGCAATAATACTTAGAACTGACGTTGGTCTATTAGAAGAGAAATCCTGTTGAGTGTGCGAGAAAGATGTGATTAGATGAAATTTTAATTTATTTTCATTAGGTTTTACCAGTGGAGAAAATGATATGTATCTTCTGAATATTCTCTGCGTTTTCAACTGATGGTTTTGCATGAGAGTGCTTATGTAAAACGACAAATTTACTTTTTTTTGATACTCACAAATCAACTACTGCTCTGTCCTATGAAAAAAAGGGAATGAATTCAACAATTTAGTTTTACTTTCCAAGAGATCGTTTACTTCTATACTTTTCTCTGATAGCTAAGATAACAGTCCGTAATAACTTGTTTCATAACTTTCAAGTCATCTCAATAGTAATAATAAGAATGATTTTTATTAAAGTGACATTGAATTTTCATATACTCCTGTATACTGTTTCAAAATTTGGAAAACATGTGTGTTTATCCGACTCACTCTAGTTCTTGAAATATTTTTAATTAGACCTACCTACACATTTTGTGGAAAAAAGTTTTTAACTTTTACCTGAAGAAGCCATTGTGTCTAAACACGTGTTGCGTTTGTGTAAATCTGTTTACTGAAGTGTTTTTTGAATATGTTATGGATTCTCATCAATCATCGGCCGAATCCATAAAAAGAATTGCATAACATTAACTAAGAAAATGGTTGTCTTCTGACATGCATTTGCCAGATTCTACTATATAGGAATGCAGGGTGAGGTGAATGTTTCAAATTTCAATTTGAAGCATACCTAGTCGCACAGTCATCAGATTTGTTTACTGTATTTCTTCTCATGGTTAAATGCATGTTGGTAGCAATGTTTGTGTTATTGTTTTCTTCTCTAAATCCAAAACTAGTTGGTATTTATTTTCTTGCATTTAAATATCAAACTCTTCTAATCAAATTTCATCATCAATATCATTTTTATCTATGGAATTTCCGAAACGATTCATGATTTGGAACTTTTGTCAATAATTGACGAAATACAGTTTGATTGAACAGTTTATTCAACAAATTTGTCTACTTCTATGTCGCGAAATTAGTCGTCAAACTTTTTCCTGCAACAGGTTTCATTTTTCCTTTTTTTTTCAGTTAGATATTGAAAATAATATTGACGCATCCTCTTTGACTATTCTGACTTTTTGGCGACTTTTTTTAGTGATAAAATGGCAACAACTACCAGCGTAGCATGCTTTTGAACTTTTTGAAAATCATTCATGGTTTTCTCTTGTGTGGAAGTTCAATAAACTCACTTCTCAAAATACTTGATGAATTTAATTCATCAAACAATTCGGATCAGAAAAAGTAATTTGTTATTGAAGACTGAATCTAATTTGAAGTAAGAGTTTATGGACTGAATTTTCATTTAATAGTATTTGTGATAGAAGGGAATGGATAAACACTTGAGGTTATGTCTCCATTACCAAAGATATATTTAAATAAAAATATTTTCATGAGAAGTATACAATTATGATTTTAAGTTTGCCTAATTTCAATACATCGTTGAAGAATTCCTCAAGAAGTAATAACATCTTGTCGGTATTGAATACTTTGTGTGTAAGTCTGTTACCATCTACAATGTAGTTTCACCAAAATGAATGAAATGAAAATTGCAATCTTCGAGCTAGTTCATTGAAAGTTTTGGTTCAAGGTAATTAAGGAAACCATCCTGAAGTAACCATCCGGAAGAAATGAATATGTTTTGTGAACGATTTTTTTATTTTTATACATCAAGAGCAAATTTGAATAAGTTGCTGAAGTAATAAAGAATATTTGTCGAAATACCTGTCTTCATCTGTACTTAATTTTTTTATGGAAGTGTGTCTGGTTCATATCATTGCATTTTCTGGTATATTTCTCGTATGGAGTCAGTACTTTTTGTAATTCAATGTAACAACATTTTTTTCTACTAGTAAAGTTTGCTTGCCAACAGTAATGGTTCTTCACACACAGCATACCTTCCTAATTCATTTATTCAGTTTTGAATATTGTTTGTGAAAAAATTTTACATATCAACTCATTTTGTTGTCGACCCCTTTGTTCATTTCAATAGTTCAGTAAAAGCATTCTTGCTATTATGATTTTTTTCAACTTAATGTTTCAATTTTCATGCAAACTGACAGGTTCTTAGTATAAAACAACTGTTGTAAACTACTTGTGATCAAATATACATATACAATATAGACATACATTTTTAGTGGTTAAAAATAATCATGATGTTTTACTGTGAATTGATCATTCAATAATTCTTTTTTGTCGATCAGTTCAACTCCATCGTAAAAATGTAATTACTCTTTTTTTCGGTTTGGCTTTTCTCGGTGCCTTCAATTCATCAGTTTATTGTCCACTTATGCGAACGTTTTCGATAACAGACTGTGCTATCATCTTCATGGCTCTACTCAAACTGAACGTTTCATCTTCTTGTTTGATCGTTTATACCGTTATTTTATACGATATTACCTGATATAACCCAAGTACAGACAATTTAAAGAGACATGAAAGGAGAGGACAAATACCTACACTAAGGTAAAAAAAACAAACAAGGAGATAAAACGTTCAGTTTGAGTAGAGCCATGAAGATGATAGCACAGTTTGTGCTCGCATATAATAATTAGAAGTTATTGAAGCCTCAAATCACTTTTATGAACAAATGTTAATATTAAAACTTTGAAAATAAAGTAAAACTAGTTTGATTCGAAATATTCATTTTCGAGTACGATACATAGTCTTCAGACAGGTTTCATCTATGTTAGATAGATATTTAAATTTTCTGATTAATTTATCCGATTTTTTACAAAAAATCGTACCAGTTGAATCGTTCACAGAAAGAAGTGCATCTGCATTACAAGGGAACTGTATTATTTTGCAAGTCATTATTATGAATTATATTTCTTGATTGTCATAAGTGTACTATTTAAGATAAATATACAACACACTGAGGTAAGAACCATCATCACTGTGTTCATTATTTCACACAATAGCATGTATTTTCTACTGCTATTAATGTGTTAAGAAATGTAAAATTGACAGCAATAATCGTTTTTAGATACTGTTTTTACAAAATATTCCCAGAATTGATGTAATTATTATCACTGTATCACAAGTAGTTTATAAACTAGTTGAGTGCAAAAGTCGAGTTTTTCCTACAATTTGAAACTCAAATATCGCACTCTTAACTAAACGTAATATTCATTGAAATCTTTCATTGTTTCAATATTATGTACATGTATACCATAGTTGAATTTATGAATGAAAAATTGTTTTGGACTTGACGAAGAATATTCAGGATATTGCAGTATTTATGAAGGATCATCTTTATCTTTGTGAATGAATATAGATATTATTTTTTGACATGAATGAAATTATTTTATAAATTGAATGTAACTTGAAAACTATTTGGGCATCTATCTAGAGCTTCTTAGGAATGCTAGATTCAATTTTGATTTGTTACTGATGACAGCGTTGATATTAGTTTATTGGAATGAAAAAATAATTTGAGAGAAGAATTAATCGACATTCATTTATAACCCATCGGTCTAAGCCTTCCTATGTTGAGTGTTGAGATTATTTTTTATTTATTCAGGAAACATGTTTTGAACATACACCTAATACCTACCTACATATCTTAGGTAACGGTTAGAACTGATACCTTTGTCAGTATTATAGTTAATTGAACATCAATAAAAATCCCATGATAGATTCAACTCTTACATTTATTCATGGTATTTCTGTCCTCAATACAACTAGTTATGAATACGAAAGCAATAATTTGATGAACAAATAAACCAATATATTTTTTAAGAAAGCGATGAAAATTTTCAGAAAATTCTTGTCAAAGCACTGAATAGAATATAAACATTGAATAAACCCCTTAGATAAAGGAAAATATGTTGTGTCTCTTATGTTCGATTTCTCGAAAGTTTTTTGACTGCCCAGACATAAAATTCATATTAGAAAAACTTAGTTATGTGGGTATAAGAGGTGTCTTGCTAAAATGGTTTGAATTTTATCTTTCCCACAGAAGTATTCTCATCAAAGTAGAACAACAACTATCAAATGAATGCACCATTTCTCTTTGTGTTCCCCAAGGATCTGTCTTAGGACCCTTAATTTGTCTCCTTTTTGCAAACGATATTCCCAAACATATTACCGCGAGACAAGTAACAATGTTTGCCGATGACACAACAGTTACAGTCTGTAGAGAAACCCTTGGAAAATTGCACAGTAATATAGAATAAACTCTAATGAAATGAAACAATGGTGCCAAAAAAATCGACTCATTGTAAATAATGATAAGACAACCTGCATAAATTTCCATATGAGAAAGCCAGTTACAAAAACCTTATATAGAAATCTAACATTTAGTGACAGCATCAAGTTACTCGGGACATGTTAACTCAGATGTTAGTTTCTCCTCCCACATAGACTTTGTAAACAACTCGATAAAAGCATACTATGCAATTCTTCAGATGAAATCAATTTTGGACAAAAAGGGATTTTTGAATTTACGCTATGAGTTTGCATATAGCCATATATCAAATAATATTGCAACATGGGGACTGGCTACTGAATGTAAAAGAGTTTTCACTTCTCAAAAAAGAATAATTAGACTA